GTTGTTGTTGTATGTGTATAATGATAGCTATAACTTGTTTCTAGTCATGTTAACATTTCTTTACATTAACTTGATCCCTTCCATTATTTGCAGCTGCTTCCGCTTCCTGCAGTGTCTGGATTTTACCTCGCTCGTTTTTTCATTAAGAAGTCTTTGCCGTCATATTTTGCTTTCCTTGTGCTTGGGAGCCTGATGGTTATGTGGTTTGTGATGCATAATTTCTGGGATCTCAACATATGGTTGGCAGGCATGTCTCTGAAATCCTTCTGTAAGCTCATCGTCGCAGGTGTTGTCCTTGCTATGGCTATTCCTGGCTTGGCCCTTTTCCCTCCTAAGTTTAAGTTCTTGATTGAGGCTGCTTTAATCAGCCACGCTGTGCTGCTATGCCACATTGAGAATCGATTCTTCAATTACAGTAGCATATATTATTTTGGTTTGGAGGATGATGTGATGTACCCAAGCTACATGGTTATATCAACAACTTTTCTGGGCTTGGCCCTGGTAAGGAGGCTTACTTCGGATAGCAGAATTGGGCCCAAGGCAGTCTGGATCTTGACTTGTCTGTATGCTTCAAAGCTAGCAATGTTATTTATCACGTCGAAGTCAGTTGTATGGGTCTCAGCTGTCCTATTATTGGCAATCTCTCCTCCTTTGCTTCTTTACAAGTATCAACTCTATCTCAAGAGCTTTTCATAAGTTTGCTATGAACTTTGCTACTTTTGGTCAGTCAATGAACTGTCTCATTTTGTATTTTGTAGGGACAAGTCAAAAACAGCATCAAAGATGAAACCTCAGCAAGGATATATGCATGCTTTTGTGGTTGCTTTGGCTGTCTGGTTTTGTCGTGAAGCCATTTTTGAATCTCTTCAATGGTGGTACGGCAGACCTCCAGCTGATGGCTTACTGTTGGGTTTCTGCATCGTTTTGATAGGAGTGGCTTGCATTCCTATTGTTGCCCTCCACTTCTCTCATGTGCTGGTATGGTACTTATTGTCGTTTGTTGTAGATATTTTGCTAGAGATTAGTATGAGAAACAGTAAGATAGCAAGCTAGAGAGATAGAATTAATGGCAGCCAAGGGAATGATAGATATATTACTGAACAGAGTATCCGATAATACAGATCTTCTTTCGAGAGGAAGGAGCTCTCCCAAAACAAATCACTCAATTAATTTCTTCATACATCACCTATTAATACCCCAAAATTAATCCCAAAACAGGCTTAACACACCTTAAGCATGCCAGCCTAGAAATAACAAACTCATAACAAACTTATCTAGAGATTACTATTTTACCCTTCTTCCCAAAATGAATTTAACAACCTGACAACTCAGCATTCTTCCATCTAATTCTTGAGCCTTCTAGCATTAGTAAAACGGATAATAGGTTTAGGCTGATTCCTTGCATATTTTAAGTTCTTAGACTTCAGTTCATGAGGAACTGGTACAATGCCAGATATCTGGCATTCGATACTGTATATGTTAAATTCACAGAATTATGTGAAACATTACATTTCTTGTTTGTTGGCTAGAAAATTGTATGTTGTTTTTTCATCAATTCATCCATTATGCCTTTTGAGGGATACAGTATCATTAGAAAATGGAAGTTCTTGTCTGATATACATAATCTAGTCATGGTAGTCCGTTATTACGTGATACGATAACCGTGTAATATGACTTGCAACAGATAGTGATTCTGTCTCGGTATTTCAGGTAGAATTTCTTGCAGGTTCAGTAACAAATACTTCTATAAAACAATATTTATGATAGCCATACCTGTTCAGCTGTGGTGATATCTACCATGATAGTTGGGCTTGCACGTTATTTTGTTATTAGTTTATCTATTTTGAAAATGTGCTAAATTGTTTCTTCTCAAAGTAATATTTTTTTAGTTTATATTTCCAATTAGTGCCTTGCTGCATTTGTGCATTCTGTGGAGATATTTCTAGTGATGCCTGTACTTCGAAGGTCCTTGAAGTTTCATAAGTTAATGCTTGATTAATAGTCATGTATACTTTGGACTTTACTTGTTGTAATCAGCTCCGAGAAGCTTATTTCCATGATGTTGTGTGAATTGTGATATGTGAAATACCAATATGTGATGTGAACTGAACCTTACCTCTTGAGAGCCATCTACAAGATACTTTATTCAAGGCATGAAATGTTCAGCTTTTATTCTGTTATTAATTTAGCTGTAAATGCTTTACCCGTTCTTCACATGAAGGTTTGTTAAGGAGATACAGATAGATGCTTCTTGTCAATTCGGTTATATTTTATACATAACTGTGTTTGTGACATTATGTACTTATTTAGATTTTGAATCATCAGCGAAAATTTCATGCTGGGTTAGGGGTGTCATAATTAGTAAAGTTCTAATGATTTCTTCTTGTTCTTTGCGTAGATTGCCAAAAGGTGCTTAGTACTGGTGGTGGCAACTGGACTTCTTTTTATCTTGCTGCAGCCACCCATCCCATTTTCATGGACTTATCGTTCTGACCTCATTAAAGCTGCTCATCTGACTGGAGATGACATCTCTATCTATGGCTTTGTGGCAGAGAGACCTACATGGCCTTCTTGGCTCCTTATTGTGGCTATATTACTCACACTTGCTGCAACAACCTCCTTAATCCCCATCAAGTACATTGTTGAGTTAAGAACCTTTTATTCCATTGCTGTCGGTATTGCTGCGGGTGTCTACATATCTTTTGAGTTCTTCCCTCAAGCTGTTGTCCTGCAAGCCCTAATTGTTTTGACTATGATCTGCACCTCGGTGTTTGTTGTCTTCACACATTTCCCATCTGCTTCTAGCACAAAAGGTTTGCCATGGGTTTTTGCTCTCCTTGTTGCACTTTTCCCTGTGACTTATTTATTAGAAGGTCAGGTTAGAATTAAAAGCCTTGTAGATGGTGGAGATATCACAGAAGAAGAAAGGAGACTAACTACAATATTGGCTGTTGAGGGTGCAAGGACGTCACTCCTTGGATTATATGCTGCAATCTTTATGCTTATTGCATTGGAAGTAAAGTTTGAGCTGACTTCTTTAGTGCGGGAGAAAGCTGTTGAAAAGGGTGGTTATAAGCCGAGTCAATCTGGTCAAAGCAGTTTGGCAAATTTGCCTGCCAAAATGAGATTTTTGCAGCAGCGTAGAGCTTCCATGACGCCGACATTCACTATTAGAAGGATGGCTGCCGAGGGAGCCTGGATGCCTGCAGTTGGTAATGTTGCTACTGTTTTGTGCTTTGCAATATGCTTGATCTTGAATGTAAATCTCACCGGTGGTTCAAATCGTGCTATATTCTTGCTGGCTCCGATCTTACTGCTACTCAATCAGGATTCTGATTTTGTTGCTGGGTTTGGTGATAAACAGCGGTACTTTCCTGTTGTTGTTGTTATTTCATCCTATTTAGTCTTAACTGCTTTACACAGTATTTGGGAAGAAGTGTGGCATGGAAATGCTGGTTGGGGGTTGGAGATAGGTGGACCAGACTGGTTTTTTGCAGTGAAAAATGTGGCTCTCCTGATTCTGACATTCCCAAGCCATATTCTTTTTAACCAGTTTGTGTGGAGCTACGCAAAGCAGAAAGATATGGCCCCTTTGCTTACTCTACCTTTAAATCTGCCAGCCATCATAATTACAGATGTGATCAAGGTCAAAATTTTAGGGCTGTTGGGAGTTATTTATTCCTTGGCCCAATATCTAATATCAAGACAACAGTACATTTCAGGATTAAAATACATCTAGATATGCACAAACTTTGTACAATACTTTTTTGCAATCATCAGATGGGAATTTCAGGTTTGTCTCTGGCCACTCATCATTTTAGCATAGTTTGAGTTGTACATTAGTTGCTTGGGCAGCTGTTGATTTTGAAATCAATATATTAGCGCTCTAAAATGAATATATGCAAGTTCCTTTGCTGTGCAATTGTGGTTAAATCATATTTTCTGTTACTTATATTATGCTGGCCTATGCCTGAAGCACCTGTTAGTGTACTACTCACGGAGCGGTACTGTGCACTCTACCTGAGAGAAGTGACCTAAAATGGTGACAGCTGAGCGTTGGTGTGTGTGTTGGGGGGGGGGGGGGGGGAGGAGTTGTAGGAAGGCTGAACAACATGACTTGCTGCTTTCAAGATGTGAAAATGCCTACACATTTTCTATGCACCTGAAAATATCATGCCGATGCATTAATATTGTGATTTTTTGCATTCCCTTTTAAATTGATTGTGTGGTGTCTCCGTATTTGTTGTCTGCCTCCATGATTGTGCCTCCAAGAAATCTGTGAACTTGGATGAGCGTGTGTCTTGGCATTGAGAAAAAGCCGCAAGTACACAAAGCCTGACAGTAACTATTTGGAATGAGCTGCTGACATGTCTTATCTTTGAGGATAATTGTTGGAGCATGAAGTGTGGCAGAACTCAAATAAGGTGCTTTGAAGGCATGTGCAGACTGGGGTATTTGTTATAGTGATAGAAGTGATGATGGCTGACTTTGTTAGGGTGCTAAAGCAAAAACAAATTTTATGAAAAATTCCCCATAAAAGGCAATCCGGAACTCCGAATAGTACTTCGGGGCATAGCTATCCCTATGATATCCTTATGGATGATACAGCCCAATTTTAGCGGAGGGACTTCAATTAATTCAACCTATAATAGGTGCCTTGAACCAAACCAATGTGCGATTCTATTCCTCTTTTTTTGTTTTTGTTTTTGTGGAAAAGATTACAAAGTCGACAAACTACAAGCAAGAAAAACTTGGTGACCATGGTGTGTCCGCACATGGTAGTGCGTCCGTGGCGCCTGGTTGCTCAGATTTGTGACGCATGTTTTCCTCAACGCTTGATGAGTTGTCATTTTCGCGGCGCTCTTATAACATCTATTAGCGTATTGATTGGAGAGTAATTTAAGAGTTTATTAGGTTGTTTTTTATGTTATAAAAGAACCATTGTAATTCATTATAGTCCCAATACGAAAAACTCTCGAATCCTCCCCCTATAGAATAGGTTTAGTTGAATAGGTTTAGTTGATCAAACACGTAAAATCTTGTGTTTTGTTTATCTTTTCTATTGCTTTTTCAACATTCATTTGTTCATTGATTATTGTTCCGTACAAATCAAATACTACACGAGCTATTTCATAACAAATGGTGGCTTTGGTTTGCCCTCAATTGGCATTATTAGTAAGGTGACGGGCAAGATCTTTGAAGATAGCGAGCCCAAAGTGTAGCAATTGATGAGGCTCAGGAGCATCTTCACTCATCTTCTCATACTCTAGAGTAATTTTTACTGCACAAAATTCATGTCCCTTCGGGATTATACACAATGTGCTTGAGAATGTTTTGTAATGAGTTTTCATTATATCTCCATCAATTGCACTACGATGTATGATCTTGTTCTTCTCATCATTTGCTTCAATCCTCTCTATAAGGTACTCTGACTTCCCATCTGTTAAATTGCATCAATCATAAATTAGATTCAAACATACTTCCTCCGTTTCTTTTTAGTTGACCAATTCTTTAGTCATGTTTGTCAATGCACTTATTCAATCACTAATATCTTAAATTATCGTCAAACAAAAATTATGAAAAGTTGATATTTTGAAAGTATATAACGTGACGAATCTAACAGGATCTCACATGACTTTATTTTTCATTACATATAAAGCACAAAACACGGTCAAAAAGAGGTGTGTGAATAGTGCTAAAATCAAAACGTGTGAACTAAATAAAAACGGAGGTAATAATACTTAAGACCATCAAAGGGAAATTAATAGGAACTTTTATTAAGTGTACTCTTTCGTCTCAAAATATTTAACACATTTATTTATTATTTTTTATGAACTTTTTAACTAAATATCAAGAATATGCTTAACAATTAACTCCAAACAGAAGAATATGTTTATATTTAACACATAAACAGTAGTAATTTTTTTTTGTTTGTTAATGATTGAAATAAAATAAATATAAGGAAAGAAAAGGATTATTAAGAAGATTCAAGTAAAAAATAGAAAAGTTTACCAATAATATAGTCCCATCTTCTGGTGCTACCCACACTTTCCCAATTGCCTTGGTGTGCTTCAACCCTGCACATGTTGGAACAAATGTTGGGAATATTGGGTTGTTTAGCCATGTTCATTTTAAATAGCATTTCTGCTGAACATTTCACCTCCACTTCTCCCTCTAATTTTCGCAACTGTGCCATTTATTATTTTTTTTTACTTAAATTGCTACAATTTTTAGAATTTTCTTGATTATAATTAGTGACTATGTATATATATATATGAAAACGTAAGAATGTAAGATAGATATTTATAGAAGATTAAAAAAGCATGCATTATTTTATGAAGAATATTTGACATTTTGACTGTAATTATGCTCTTTGTTTTGCTCCACTCCTTTTATCAAACTTTGAGCTTGCTAATTGCTATGAACGCATTAATAGATTACTTATTCGGTTATTCCCACTAATACTTCCTTTATTTAAAAGGAAACAGAAAAAATTAGAAAAATGTCAAAAATAGAATTCATAGAAATATAAAAAGGTGCCAATGAAGTACCATGTAAAATATTATTATTGTTCACTGCGACCAATTTCTATTTTCGAAATGCCCAATCTCTTAAAACACAGATTGTGCTTTGTGTTGTGGCTCAACTCTTATTGCAGAACAAACATGTACTCATACCAGTATTTGTATAAACAGATGCATACAATAATTCAAATTTGATAATTACAGTACTATTTACAACTGCACATGATGGCAGGATCACAAGTGCTCCTAGAAAATGGCTATATAGTATGAGTTTGTAGTGTAATGAAAATTGCTGAGGATCAAACCATATGAAAAATAAGTCGCCGTAATATACAGAAGTCCAGTGAATCTGTGACTGAAATATTGAATGCTGCTTGGGAAATGAAAGGATATGCAACCTCTTGCAGCATAATACATTCAGTTTTAGGTTATGCAATTGGTGATACGAAGGTTTTGGCTTTTGAAATAAGATCAGCACGGTAAAAGGGTTTGATTCCAAAGAAAAGAACCAAAAGCAGAACCAACAAAAGGAAAATAGGGGCTGGATAAGCAGCATGAGAGCTCAAGAGAATATGACTATGTACAAAGCCGTCTTCCATCCTTATCCATGACTTGAGGGTGAAAGGCCGATCAACTATCTCCAAAATTCTAGCTCCTCTAGCCCAATTCCCATAGCCACCATAGCCGGTGTGTCTAGCATAGCACAGCCACAGTTTCTTGTAAGGGCAACACCAATCATTGCCATGGTCATGCCCTACAAATACAGCCTGCACCAAAGGCAAGAAAATTGCTCAATATTAACTCCAAGTGTGCCCAAAACGGCCAAAAGGTTGTGTTTAGTGGACCAATTCATCCTGGACCTTCTATTTATGCAGAATAGAACAGAACAGAAAATTGCCTTTGAATTTTACCAAGTTCATTGAACAGAAATCTAAAGGTAAGTTCTATCTAAAAGAGTTATGTTGTTTTGTTCGACAAAAGGTAAGTAGTTTGCTATTGAACTTTTAGCAGAAGTCTTAAGGTAATATTATCATTATTAAAAAATGACTTGTGCATCTAATGTTTCTTCTATTAGTGTCCATCCAACATTGCTTGTGAGCTAGCAGTTCAGGAGAATAGGAGATCATGAGGCTATAATACGACATCAACCTTCCAAAGTTCTTAATTATACATAAAACAAGCCTTTTTGAAAATTTTGGTTGAATGTGGAGTCACTCAATCCACCTTCAAACCTCGCAATGGGGATCCAACTCTCACAGGAGGGTCCATCGCCCACTGCCAGGAAAAATATGTAACAATCCTTATGTTCACACACCTTCAAATACATAAAGGAGCTATGACAGTTCTCCAAAGACTAGTAGGTACTTGCAAAAGTTTTAAAATAATGGCTTTGCTGCCTTTGCAGTCGATTATAAGCATGAACAGAAATCTCAATTAATGCAAATAAGTACAAAACATTTTGAAACAATGGCCACCTTCAAATACTATATGATGTTGAATTTCAGTCACGCAACTCAAAAGATGATCCAAATACATATCATCTATCGCATCATCTCTGTCAACATGTACCTTGCTCCAAGTATAAAGGTCAGAGAAAATTTGCAGACATAAATCCTCTGAATGAACCTCTTATATATTAGTAACTCATTACTCAGGCAACGCAAGCATATAAATTAATATGTTCCCAGAGCACCAACTGCCATTTTGTATCAAGTATAATGAAAAGCAATCATGCATACATGACATTACCTGGACTGAAGGCCGACCTTTCAAAATCTTCATGATCCCCTCCTCGGATTCTTGAGTACATACCCATTCCTTATTTATTGAGCCCACACAAGGCTGAGGAACAAAAAACAACCAAGGGGCAGCCTTCTGATATGCTTTACTAGGTATGTGCCAAAAGAAAATTTCAGGAACCCTGCAAAGTTTTTATAAAGGTCCGTTGATTCCCATCTAATGAAAGAAAAACAAAACTAACATTGCCCAATGCCTTTACAAAGACTTCTGTTTTTTTGGTTAAGGCAGGGTAAGGGATCAAATTTATACAGCCTCCCTGCAATAATAAAAATAGAAGCTGTTTCTATTAAACTTTTTGATCTGAAAACATAGTACTACACAATAACAAAGAAACACAAATATTTTAATTATTATTTTTAATTCAGGGGATTACAACCCACAGTCAACGAAAAGTAAGTTTTCCGGTTTCAGTGAATATGGATTCAACATAAGAGCCCTATACGCAATACCATATATCTATAGGTGAAGTAATGAGCATAAAAATTGCATTATTTACACTTCATACAGAATTTGGGCAATGTGTGAAAGGATGATCTGAGCTTCCAGTTTTTAGTTTTTAGTACCTATAATCGGGATTAATTGCTTCAGATATGCCTTTGAGCCACTCTACTTGAGCACTTGAAATTACTTCTGGATAAGAACCTCCTCCAGAATCAAGAAAATACATAAAAGCTACAGGTGACTCTGGATTTTCTGACGACGAGATTTGCAGGACATAGTTAGATACACTTGGCCAGAGATTTCTGGATCCGTGCTGAGAGAATGAAAGCATGTCATTTCCAATTTGATAATTCATTAACTCCAATCTTGTTGTACCCATGAAGCTGCAATTTCCATCACCTGAAATAAATTATACTTCGTATAATGCAACAATTACAGATGTTCCTTTCTTATCCATCAATAAAGGTTATAACTACAGTTAGATATTAGTTAGTGAATTATTTTAAACTTGTCACCATGAGAAGATATAGGATGTGTACCGATTAGAGATGTGTTAGGCTGAGAACAATGCAAAGGGGGAATCCCCTCTTTTGAAAACCATTCCTTGGGCCACACAAAATGGGCATCATCATGATTACCAAACACACCGGCCCAAGGTATGCCACGTTCTCTTGTGGGTGAAGTAGCTTGATCCCAGTATAGGCTAGCGTTTGCTATAGGTATATTATTGGCCGTGATGACATCTCCGAGATATACAACAAAATCTGGCACGCAATTCACAATCAGCTAAAAGCAACAAGAACAGACTTTAAGGTATATCGAAGTTTTTCAAGAAACTCATAGTCACTTATTACTAATAGCAACAAATCAAAGAGGACTAAGGGTCTGTTCTGATACGATTATTTTCAGTTCAATTCAGCTCTAATAAGTTCAGTTCATTCAGCTCCTAATTTTCTTCTCTTATAAAAGATTCAATTCAGTTCAGTTAAACTCAGTTCAGTCAATTAGAAAAGGCCCTAACTAGCAAAAAGAGGAGGAGGAGCTTGAATTTGCATCCATAACAATGACCAGACTACTTATCGCGTATCAGCAGAGTTAAAAAGCATAGTTGGTTCAGACTTATTTGAAAGGGTATACCATTTACATACTAGGTCAAGTACAAGTATTAAGTCTTAGTAACTCAAAAAGAAGAAACCTAAAAGTCCTAACCATGTCCTTTGCAAACTTTATTATCCCAAAAGCTTATGGAACCATTAGGAACAGTCATATTTATGACAATGACTTACATGAGTTGCATCTCCACAAACTCAGGTAAGACTTATGAATTATATACCTTGAAGCTCAAATGTAACATCACAAGCCTTGTATTTGGATGTTCTTTGAGGCAAAAATCATAATTTTATCTTAGCATGCCAGTCAAATATAAGTTGCATCTCCACAAATTCAGTTATGACTTATATGCCTTTAAGCTCAGATGCACCATCACAATTTAAAGATCACTGAGAGCAACTCTACTTTAGGACTTTCAACCACAAAATTAACCTTGCTAAAAAAAGTTGATAGGGAAGGGATATACCTGAAGCTAAGGTTTACATGATCAAATTTAGGGGTGTTAATGTCAAGCTAGCTGGCACCTTAGCATTGAATGATTCAAATCTCATCAACACCAATTTCCTTTGTAGCTCTCGGTACAATAAAGTAACACACTAACATATCCTTAAGGGTTATAGCATTAGCATGTTAAATTGAGCAACCAGCAACCATAGTATTAAATCTCCTTTGGAATACTATGCCAAAGAGGAAAACAAACATAAATCAAGTGTTGTGAGGAACTGGGGATACTATAACGCCATCCCATATCCTTTTCCATTATACCATTAAACTCACGCGCTCCTTCATGCTCACTTTAAGCTTAAATTACATCACTCTAAGTTTTCTTTCACTTCTTTAGGCTTACATTCTATCTATGAGGGTTCATTTGCACTCAATTCTTCAATTCTCATGTGTGTAACTAAACTCAACAAGTCAACAAACAAACAATATCATACATGAGCTCAAGCATCAATTAACCACGCAAAAAATTGAAAAGCCGAGTAAATTCTAAAATTTAATCAATAAGTTGAACAATCTCAAAGAAATATTTTATGTATATATATAAAAAAAAAAAACTTGACATCAATTCTAACCCTGTATTCTAATTTCAAACAACAAGATAAACAACAGGTTATTCCTTCTTTTTATAGTCAAACTAATCCATCCTTTACCAATCCAAGAATTTCCCATAATTTAAAGAAGTTAGAACCAATAAACTCATCTAAATACAAACAAACCCAGATATAATTCAAAATTATCAATCAAAACCCAGGATCCAAACTAAAAAAACCCACTCATAAATTTCAGCAACACAACAATACCACAATAATACAAAAATAGAAATAAATAAAAATCCAAACTTTCTTCAACTAGAATATTTACTTACAAGTTATAAATAAAGAAAAAACAGAAAGAAAGAAGAGGACCTGGGTTTTCGTGATGAAGAAGAGAGTTCATGGCATTGATAGAGTTGGCATCTTGTTGGGGTCCCCAATCAGTCCAGGAATTCTCCCCAAAATGCAAGTCTGCAAAAATTGCAATTTTGAAGGATGATTTTGTCTTATTAAACTGCAAATTTATCAATCCAAATGTTAAGTGGAAGTGGGTGCTTAGTAAATAGAGTAAAATTTGAGGGAATTTGAAGAACAGAAAAAAGTAGGATGGCTTCATTCTTCTTCTTTCATTAATTACACCCATAAAAATTGAGAGAAAATAGTGGAATTTGAGAAAGATGAACTTAGTTTGGAGAAAATTGACAAGGAAGTAGTTCAGTGATCAATTCATCATCATGAATTCATGATCAACGTTTGGGAAGTCAAAACTGAAAAATGGCTATGATCATCTTTTTACTAGTATTAATTTTATTCATTAAGATGAGAATATGTTCAGGGTTTATCCAAGTTTCTCGTTTAACTAGAGGGTAATTATGTAAATAACTTATTAGGGACATGTGTTGCTGCCTCATAATACAGAGTAATATTTATTTATTTATTATTATTATTAGGAAAATTTGTAAATTACCACCCAAAAATAAAACCATTTTCGAAATAACCACCCATTAAAAAATTTATTTTAAATTATCACCCCTTAAATTAATTAATTACGCAGATTACCACCTTTTTTGAATTTCCGATTGAATTCAGATGTTATGTCTTCGATAAGTGCAATTACTAGATATATCAAGGATCACTATTATGGAGATAATAAGTTCGTTCTCTTGGGGCGTCATCATTTGTTGCTAGACTATGAGAGATGATCTTTAGGCTAGTAAAATAGCCTAAAGCCCGCTAGAATGGATCCCATGAGGTCACACACAAAGGTATTGGGTTAAGCAAGTAAGAGGCCCATTATTGGGCCTTATGAGTATTTAACTCATCATGAATAGGATTGGGCTAGTGTAGTTTGATTGGGATTAGGAATTGGGCTTAGTCATGGACTCTTATTTATGGATATGATCTATAAATAAGATCTGTGCCTAGGGTTGCAAATAGAAGAGTCACAATCAACTTACAGTGAATTGTGAATCAAGGCAACCAAAAATCCCAATTCCCTCATCTATCTCTCTCTCACGGCACCCCTCCCCCCCCCTTGGACTTGCGGCCGACCACCCCTGGTGGTGTTCGCGGTGGTTCGTGGTGGTTCGTGACTAGTTCGTTGCTCATACCTCTCCGTAGAAGGTCGATTGAAGAGATCGATCGCGACTAACTAGCATTAGTGGAGGTCTTAACCTGTGCCTGTGGACCAAGTAGAGAAATCACGTTTGAGGTTCTTTGTCTCCCTTGTTCTTGCTCGATTGCTAGTGGAATCACGCTTCAAAGGTATAATTCTTACTCTTTATGTGTTATGCATGAGATCCTTGGTTAAGTGCTATATGAATATGATTCATGATTATTTCCGCTGCGTAGTACCTATAATCCCCTACAGTGGTATCAGAGCCTCTTGCAATTACATATATTGAGTATTAAACCTTTGTTAATCCACAATTTTAATTCAATTAGGTGGGAGAATAATTTAATTATGGGTCAATTATTATATTAAATGTGATTGAACAATATAGAATCATTAAAGTTGTTTAATTTGCTCCATATTAGCCCTAATTTGATTCGAAAATTGCCCTATGAAGTTCAAAAAATTCGAACCCCCCCCCCCCTTAATTTTCGAAATTTTCAAAATCATTAACCCTAATTTATGAAATTTGTGTTTTTGATTTTGATTTATTTCGAAAGTTTTATGTTTAAAGAATTTAATCTAATTGATTTCATGATAAATTATGAATTTTTCATGATCAAATTATTTAATTTAAGTGTTAAATTAAATTGGGGATTAATTTCATCAAGAACCTTAATTTCAAAATTGAATATGATTTAGTTTTGAAATTAATTGGACCACATAAAGTTTAATTTAATTTTACAAAATTTGTTTTGTTTTATTTAATTGAAAATAAAAAAAACAAAAAAAAAAAATTTCAGCAGCAGCAACCGCAGCTGGGTGGCGCTGCCACGGCTTTTGCCGCTGCTGGTGGTCCGGAGGGAGGGGCGGGGAAGGGCAGCATCACGGGTCAGAACAGCAGCAACAACAGCACCGTGCACCTGCGGCGTGACACTGCTGCTGCTGCCCTGCGTCGCAGCACTGCAGCGTACACCTTGCGGTGTACGGCCACCATGGCTGGCTTCGGCTGGCCACACCACGGTGGCTGGCGACAGTTTTTTTTTTCAAAAAAAAAAAATTATTTTATTTTATTTTGGATAAAATCAGTTTTCAAAATTAAAATTAAAAGATAAGTTTTGATTTTGAAAGGATAATTAACAAAATTAAAATTGTTGATTTTGTTAATATAGGATAATTATGGAGCAAAAGATTCTATTTGGATAATAATTGATTAAATAATATGATTATCCCATAATTATTTGAGGATATTAATTGATTTAAAATATGTGATTGGCAAGTAATTAGGATAGAATCTCCTAAAAGTTAGGATAATCATGGAAGATAAATATTATTTATCTTCCATAATTAAAATAAGATTTGATTCTATCTCATACCTAAATTAAAATATATGATATTTTATAATTGGTCATGAATAATATATGATATTATCTAATTACAGTAATTAATTAATTGATTAAAATATGAGATATTTTAGGAGCCATGTTTCCTTTACTGTGAACATTCGATGTTGTAGTTTAGGAAAGCATGATGAGTGATTTATTAAATGGCATTTTATAATATATGATGTTACATATTGCTATATAGACTAGTATGGCCCATAGATTCTAAATACGATCTGCGCATCGTTTCGTATTTTTGTAATCTAAATACGGTCTGCGTACTGTTAAGTATTTTTATAATTTATTTTATTTTATTAAAGTAGTAGATAGAATAGAATAGAATTACAGGTTGCAGTTAATCCAAGAATCCTTGGAGTGGAGGCCCAAAGGAGCAAGATGGATGAGATCCATGAAGGTTCAAGTAGGAGCTTTTGCTTTATTAGTTTTTCTTAGGATTAAGGGGTCATACTATGTCATGTTTTATTTATGCATTAGTAGATTATGCATGTTAGATCTTATTTATGTTGTTTGATGATGCGCTAGAGTTCACTAAATAATCACAACATAATAAATTTAGGTCCCAGCAATATTGAGGTAGCTTTTCCAATCAAAAACCCGATGAAACCTTTGATATTTATGATGGGTCATGCCAAAGCAGGGTGTCATATTATATCTTAGGGGAGTGGGGGTAAAACAAATTTTACACTTTTGATTGGTTATACTCAACAAGGTTACCTAAAGAGTTTAGAACCTTGAAGCTAAGGGTAATAATTAAACATGTGATGGTTAATTATTCAACCAAGAATTACAAAGAGTTGTAATCAGTAAAGAGTTTACTCACCTTGAAAATGTAATAGTTGATGGTAGGGCCAAAGTCCGGTCAATTATTGCACAAATAAAGGATCTTGGAATCATTCTATTCAATAGGGATCAATTAAATATTGAATGAATGTTTTAAAGTTACCAATTTTATAATCGTTTATGGTACTTTAATTTGAAATTAAACATAATTATTAAACTTTGCCTTATTTTGACATAGATGGGTAGCCGTAATCACAGTGACAACAACGTTTACAACCTTCGGCCATTCCTTGAGAAGGATAGGTTGACAGGGGAGAACTTTTCCACTTGGGAAAGAATGCTAAGACTTGTTATGAAATCTGAGGGTAAAGAGGATATCATTGATACCCCATTACCAGGACCTTTGCCAGAAAATCCAACTGCGGCAGAGATCAAAAAGCACAAGGAAGCTTATGACAGAGCTATACCTATCACTTTCTTAATGATTGCTACCATGGAGCCTAGTCTTCAAAAGCGTTTTGAGGACCAGGATGCCTACTCAATCATGCAAGAACTCAAAGCTTTGTTTAAGAAACAAGCTAGAGTTGAAAGGTATGAGCTCCATCGTGAGATTCTGGATTGTAGAATGGAGAAGGGAGCCACAGTTCATGATCATGTTTTCAAAATGATCGGCCTAATTCAAAGTATGGAAAAACTTGGGCACCTATACAGTGATGATTTGGAAACAAACATCATTCTCCATTCACTACCAGAAAGTTTTAACCAGTTTATCATGAATTTTAACATGACTGCCACTGCAAAGACTATGAATCAATTGCATGCAATGTTGGTTAGTGCTGAGAAACAAATCCCTAAGGAACCTAAGAAGGAAGTTCTTATGATTCAAAAGGGAAAGGGGTTCAAGAAGAAGGGGCAAAAGGCTAGTTCCAAGAGCAAGGGCAAGCAAGTTGCCAAGGCTCCTGAAAAGCCTAAGACGACTCCAAAGCCCAAGGCTGCAAGTGAAAGTGAATGCTTTTACTGCAAGAAGAAGGGGCATTGGAAGCGAAATTGCCAGAAATACCATGACTTCCTCAAGAAGAATGGAGCATCAACCTCAGGTATAATGTTATAAACATTTTAACTTTCACTTAGGTATATGATACCAAGTTGCAGTGCTTAACATAGTGATGTTGTGCAGGAACTGCAAATAAGTGAAGCTAGCATGAAAATGGAGCTTGAAGGTTCACTAGAAGTATTTGAGTGGCCAGAGATAGCTTCATAGTTTTAAATTTTGATTAGTTTATCATGATTTTAGAACAATTTCCAGTTTTGATGAGACAATATTTCGGTTTTATTGTTTTGAATACTGAATTTGGTTTACTTAGCTTGGACAAGTGTTGATCCATGACCAAGGTAATAAATTGTTTTCATTTTTCTAGATACGAGTTAGTTTTGTTTTATGACATTGATATAAGTAGATCACAAAATAATTTAGATGATTTAAAGTACACTTACTTATAACAAAATAAGGTTGGGTCACATAAACCATTTGCACATCCAAAGTTTTGGATGGACTCTCATTCTTATATGATTATGAATTACTTGAGAATTAGTAGTCATGCTTGATAAGTTAAGATGACCAAGTTGCCTTTTAGTAGAAAGGGTAAAAGAAGCTAAAATGACCTTTTGGTACTCATACATATGATGTATGTGAATCAATAAGTTCAAAACTAGCAAAGGGATTTAACTATTTCATCGCTTTTACTAACGATTTAAGTAAATATTTCGATAATTACTTAATGAAATAAAGCTTGGAATAATTGAAAAGTTCAAAATTTCCAAATGAAATGTAAAATAAATTTGAGATAAACAATTTAACACCACAATATGATTGTTGTGATAAATATTTAGCTCAAAAAGGAATGATCATCTAAAGGGAATTGTTGAATTAATTCACAATCCAGAAACATTACAATTAAATTGTATGTTTATGAAGAAATGAATCAAACTTTGCTTGCCATTGTTCGATCC